TACTTACACAGTTAAAGGCTATATCAGAATGATGTGCTTTCAGAAACACAGATAGAAAACACGCAATTTTAAAATGAGGCATTTTCCTAGGCTTAAATTTAGCATTATAAACATTAACATTTAATTTTTTGTCATCTTCAATATTTTTACTTTTATACCCTAAAATAACTTTTAATAACTGATGACCATATGATATTAACTTTAAAACTATGCCCTAAAATGACTATTTTCGTAAGTTATTTTTAGTTTTCTACTACAATTTTTTCTTTTATTTTAGTGTCCTGACTTCTACTTTTTCAGTAGGTCCCCTGGAGCATGAAGAGATATTGAAATATTCCAATACTTACAAATGGTCTACCATTCCCTAAGACTTTCATATGATCAGGAGCCATATTTCATTGTCCTTAAAAGTTTTCTCACAGTGAATGTGTCGTGTTGGAACACAGGCTGGCATGTTCTCAAAAATTCAATAACCAGGATAGATTTTCCTATAGTACATCCCATCAACCAGTGAGTCAGAGATCAAACTATAAAAGACTAATGACTCTCTAAATGGTACGATTGGTACAGACTTTGAAAATAATACTTGTATCTTATGTCCAATAATATAAAAAATGTGAAATATGAATGCATATGACATCTCCAGTAGGAAATCTTCTCAATCAAGAAAAAAGCAGAAAGCATCTATGGAAGCTACCAAGGAGAGGATACTCTCCTATCTTTCCCTGAGRCACTGAAATCAGAACTTCCCCAACTCAGAACAGAGATTAGATCATACTTCCCATGGATGACCTGTATTGGTGGTTTGTGCCCTAGCAGACTCTACCTTCAGGCAGGCCCTAATGAATCCCACTGGGACTCCTTACCCCTCCATGGACTCCTGGCTGTCTCCATGCCTCCCTAACCTGTTCTCCCCAGCRTCTCTACACCTTGGAGTCTGGAGACTGGGATTCATGTGACTCAAACCATGTCAAGTATTCTGGGGCCTGTAATGAGAGCTGTTGCCTCAGAGGTGTGCTCTGTGCCTTTCTCTGCTTCCTAATTGTGTGTCCTGCTGGGGATGAAAATAGAAACAGAAAAAGACAATTGCTTTGTCTCTTCTTCCCAGCAGACATAGGCATGCTCAAAGTCTCATGACCTGGCCCCCCAGTGAGTCCTCAAGAGCTGCTAACTAGGCTGAGCCCATCAGAGGAAAAAAAACCTCCTTTTCTGAGGATTCTGCTGCWTTTCAATCAGGAACAGGGGAGGGGTCAGCAGCAACCACAGAAGCTCTGAGAAACAGGACCCTGTTCCAACCTCCACCTGCTCCTCCTTCTGAGGTCCTTGAGCCCAAATGTGAGAGTGAACCAGTTGCCTTATTTTGTTTTACCTTAAATTCTGCTTAGACATGATTTAGCATCTAGTCTTTGGTTGACTATCACTCCCTTTGGTTGACTATCACTATTACTCTTTTACTCTATTACTATTATTCTTTAAGTATCACAACAGACCTAAATTATCTCAATTAACACTAGAGATGCTCATCATTCACTTTCTATATTAATAGCACTAAGAAGTACACATTTCATGGATAAAGTATGTAAAGRTATTTTTTATTTACAAGTTTTTTTTCCATTGGTGGAGAAATATCTACAAGATAGAGAAGTATGTGGGAATGATGACACTAAAAAGTACAAATTTCTGCTGTGGATTTCGATGAAAGATATGCAATAACTTTCTTAGTCAAAGGAAATTATAGTCAGGCATACTAAACAGTAGTGCTTAATTTCAGCACAATTATTATGTAGGGTTCATTTATAAATTATACATTTAATTCTTGTCAAACAGACACAATGCATGCTAAATTTAGGAAAAAACACTTATTGCAATGGAACATGAAGCCCACTGGACACTATAGCTATGTCTTGTACATACCTTACACAGCATTAAGGACAGTATCAGATATTTTGAATTTGCTCAGGAAATCAGTGTACAAGATAGATTTTCAGTAGCCTGGAGGATAGTCTTTGTGTTGGGAATGAAGAGAGTACAGAAAATGGACGAGGTTATCAGGTGACCATGWAGCAAAGTGAGCGAAGTTGGAGACAGTCAGTAAGACTGCAATAATACTTTTCTTTTTTAGAGGACTTTCATGTTTACTRCCTACCTTTATGTTAATCTCTTCTCCTCCTGAAGCACATCTTCACAATACAGTCTTCATAGGCACAGAAGCACCCATTTGTTACACTTTGTGCTCCTGAGTGCTGATGATACAGGAAGCACTTGGTCTGACCATCATTGTCCATTTTAATAGATTGACAATTACATTAAATGGACCCTCAGTTCTTCCTGGTCCACAATAGTACTTTCCTCAGAAAAAAATCCCTTATCCTAGCCCATACCCTGTAAGAAAACTTAACAAAGTCTCAGCTTATCACTATGTAAGCTAGAGCTTGGTTTTCAGTTCTCCTTTGTCACTTACAAGTAAACAGCCCCAGGGGTCAACTGAGCCATATATTAGCAATAGGTGCCTATTTAAGGGATTCTGCTTCGCTCATGTCTACTACTGTAGAAAAGAACCATCCAGGTCACTTAATTTTGAGAGAAATAAAGGAAAACTGGGAAAGGAAATTACTGCTTTATAATCAACTGGATTGAAGTGTATCTTCCATAGCCAAATATTTTCCTAAGCTTCATGTATTTATAAATGTGGACAATTTGTCAGCCACAGAAATTGTTAATATTAACCTTACATCAAATCAACTTCAGTCATGTGTGGAGATTTTTAAATATATTATTTTTATTCATTTTGTATCAAGGTTTTTTTTTTTTTATCAATGGTGCTTATAAGGGGAAAAAAAGAGAAAGAAAAAAGCATGTCATSTATTGCTAGAAGAAGTGACCTATTTCTTTCCCCAGGTCTTGCTTAAACAGGTTACTTTGCCCAGAATTTGCTTCCTAGTTTTTAGATCCAGCTTTGGAAACTCTATTCAGAAACTGTCATGCTCCTCAAAAGTATGATGGGACAATGCTTCAAGCAGAATATCTAAAGCTTCATTGATTTAAAATCAATAATGAAAAAGGAGAGAAGAAATTTTCCAAGTAGCACATTACTTGTTGGTAGAAAAATATAACTAGAAAAATGAATTATTGCCTAATGGCAGATTGGAGAGCATGAATCAGAGCAAGAAGAACTTTTCAGAGATTCCTAGTTAGTAGAGCTATTGATTGCTGATCACCCAAACATCCATGTGGACTTTCAACCACCAGGTGGCTAGGACAGCTGGAGTGGACTTTTGCAGACCCCCAAACTCTCCAGTCATATGTTTCCTGATACTGTCTTGCCTCCCATCTGTAGATGGTCAATCTCCTCGGTTATAGGTGGGTTTTACAAGTCTGTTTCTCAGAACACAGTTCTGTCTTTCATATGCAAGTCCTGTCTTTCATATGACAGCACCYTTGGTTTGATGATGGTTACAACAGGGACCAGCCAAAACCAGTGTCATTCCTCACGCTAATCATGGAAAAGTGCTAAGTATCAACTTATTTACCCTTGACCAATATTTGCTGTAGAAATCATGTTAAATTTCAACATGATTTACTAAAGCAAATTTTATCCATAATCTAAGGTCAAAAAGCCAAATTCATCCATTATTGTACCACCAATTATTTCATCTATTGAGTATCTTATCAAGAATTTATTGAATCAGATATACTGAATTATCAATTTAATAATTTCTTGCTATCACCTAATTATAAAGTGACAGTTCTTGTTGCTGAGGTCAGCCACTKTTTTCAGTTTAAACAGCAAATTACTGTGTTTGAAATTTCAGGGATAGGGTGGCTTACAAACATGAAAGGTTGAATTAATAGCAAAGTGGGCATATTTCCTCCTTACTTTCATTCCAGCCTATGTCTTCTCTGAGAGGATCTAACAGGGAAGTGCAAATAGTTCCTGGGAAATGTGCCTCAGTGTTTTCACAAGGACAGCCCTAGGAACCTGCCAGGCCACTCTCCTAAGATCTTTCAGAGCTTATGGAAACACATTTACACCAGTGCACACTGAGGCCAGGTTTATGCTATAGACTGCTTGATGAAACGCAATTTGACCCAAACTCTATGAGTTACAAAAGAAAATTTCTTATGGTGAATTAATAATTCTGTGAATCACCCAGTTGACCAGTTGCCAAATTACCAAATGTTGCTTTCTTTCAATATTTCAAGAAAATTATATCCACTTTTATAGATAGGAACACTTATATATTAGTGTATATGTTTATGGAGAAATAAATATATATCATGGGACATAAATTATCTATACATGCATACATGTATCATATTGCTTTCTTCTTCTTTCTACTCTCTACCTCAAAGCATTCCACATTGTACACATGCATCAAAACATCACCGAAAATCCATACAACATGATTTGTCAATCAAAAATAAAATTAATAACAAAAAGCCACTGTTTAAATAATTTGTTTTGTGTGATGTCATATAATGCAATCTTTAGAATCTGGTGATAATTTAAATACTTAAAGAAACTCAATCATGATTTCTATCTTGTTATAATTATTTTCTTTTCTGGGACTATCCTTATTTTAAAAGTTCTTACATAGCTGTCTCTACTTTACAGTATTTCTCCTACAAATATGCACATGTGAAGCTCTTAGACAATCTGTTTCTGGGTGATGTTATTCGTATGGGTTTGCTGGTTCTAAATTGCATCAATGTCAAAGCCTCCAGGTAATTAATCCTTAGTTATATATTTTTCTTCCAAACCTCGTATATCAGATTAAAATATTAACTTATAGACAGACAATCAATTTTTTTAAACAGGTAATACTTCATTTAATTATGTATTTGCTTATAACTGAATGGTTCTTAATAGCATTTACTAATAAAATTTCACACACCTAAAATCTATGAAATAATAAATAATTCATTTCAATGTTTAAGACATTTTAATGTTTTAAAATGATCATGTCACATAGCTATCTGACATTCTCTTTAATAGAGAAATGGAGGAAAATCAGACAATGGTCACAGAGTTCATCCTCCTGGGATTTTGTCTTGGCCAAAGGATTCATGTACTTCTTTTTGGAATTTTCTCCCTCTTCTACGCCTTCACTCTGCTGGGGAATGGGGCCATCCTGGCTCTCATCTGCCTGGACCCCAGACTGCACACCCCCATGTACTTCTTCCTCTCCCACCTGGCCATAGTGGACATCGCCTATGCCTGCAACACAGTGCCCCGGATGCTGCTGAATCTCCTGGACCCCGCCCTGCCCATCTCCTTTGGGGGCTGCATGACCCAGACCTTTCTCTTTTTGACTTT